AATAAAATAGAGAAACTAGGTTAGGCTTGGCATTTGAAGCTATGGGGAGTGAGACGAGATATCACTTTGTTTTATTCTGGAATGGCATTTAACGAGGACTTAAGGATACTCTGCTTAGTTTCTAGCTTCCCTCCTCCCCACAACCTTTATTTATTTATTTATCCTATATTTCCATTTTTTAAAAAAATCTTTTCTCTCAAACTAAGGTCATGCTTGTAGAATCTTCAGTTTTGGAACTTTGGAGAGGAGGATACCCTTCCAGTTCTCTTTTCTCACCTAAAGCCACGATTAAGATTAGATTAGAGTTAAATGAAATGAGTGAATATGTATATATTTTTCTGATACGTTGTCTGAGATAGAGACTTATAAGTTTTCATTAATCTGTCTAATTTCTCATGTACAATTATTATTGCTTATTAGCAATAGTGTAAACAATATTGACCATGTGCTAGATGATTTGGGGGGGACACAGGTGCTCTCACTGCTTTCTCACCTTGGAAATGATATTGGGTGCTGTGAAGGTTATGTCATATACCAAAGTTGTCATTCCTCATGCAGGTCAGAATATCATCTGTAGCTGGCAGGAAAGGAGTCTTGGCAGTAAATGGAATTTCTGACTCTAGGAAGTGTCCAGGCATGCAAATTTTATTAATATATTCATTGATAACTATAGGTAGATTTTTAGGTTTGGAATTCCCACAATTTAGGAGGAGCTAAAAGTGTGATAATGATTCTCAATCCTTGACTGCCATTGGATTCACCCAGGGAGCTGTAAAATAAATGCCATATCCCCAGGTTCTATGCCACCAATTAAACCAGAAGTGTTAGCATCCATGGTGTTTTACAAGGTGATCCTAATATGCAGTCAGAGCTGAGACTCCTGGTTAGAGTTAAAGGCGCTGAGTTTTCACTTAGTACAGGGACTGGCTATATCAATAGTAACCTGCAATTGGGCCTTGGAGGAGACAGTGAGTGTGAAAATGCCAGTGCTGTGTAACTCTGCTTGTTGTTTCAGTTATGGGATGTGGTAGCTAAAAAGCGGCTGAGAAACATGCTTGGTCATTTGTCAGTAGTTGGAGCCTTGAGCTGGAATCACTGTATCCTCAGCAGGTAAGAAGCATCTTATTGGAGCCAATTATGTTTGTATCGCCAGTTGATTGTGGGGGCTGAGTGAACAGAACTGTAGTATTGAAAACCCAAACCCAAACAAAAGTGAAATCAAAGAGGACATTAGATTTAGTATGAGTTATGATTCTCCCTCTGGAGTATTCGGATTTTCTGCTCATGGAAGCCTTCCGGTGGCCACACATACCATGTGCCTTCAGCATGGATTTGCTAAGTTGTTCAGATAAAATGTGTGACTCCCTTTGAGCAAGAGCTTTCTCTGTGCCAAGTAATACCTGGGGATATTTTGCTGAAATCATGTATTTATTGCTGTCAGTATCAATACTATAGAGTATATTAAGCTTTCTGGGGCACATTTCCAACTCACAGACCCACAGAGGTTAGAACTGGAAGGAACCTCATAGATTATCTCATTCTCAAACTTGAGTGTGCATCAGGATCACCTGGAGAGCTGCTTAAAACACAGATTGCTGGTCTCACTCTGGGAATTTCTGATTCATTAGGTCTTAAGGGGGCTGATAATTTGCCTTTCTAATTTCCTAAGTAATGATGATGATGCAGCACTTTGAGAATTTCTGATTTAGTTTAACTGCTTCTTTTTAACCAGAAAAGTTAAATGATTTGTTCTTATGATTCTACATAATTGGTCTTAATACAGATTGCTTTTAATAATAGCCATTCCTCTTTGTACTATTTTTCTTAAGGTAGATTTAAGTTAGATAAATTCCAAAGCCTTTTACAATTTAAGTAGCTCGGATATAAATTTGAGACTTTTTTTGGCGGCTGGCTGGTATGGGGGTAAATTTGAGATTTTAATACCTTGTGATTACAGGCCAAAGTTAAAGCCACTTAGTTGTCACAGTCAAGTCAATTCTGTACTCAAGTTCCTTTTCCAATCTGCATTATTAAAATTTCATTATCCATGAAGAATATGAAGAGATCCTTTCTTATAATAATAGCAGCTAACATTTTTGGACTACTCTGTGCTATGCACCATGCTATACTCTATGTGAATAATCTCATTTGAATCCCTGCAATACCACTATAGAGTTTTTTGTTCAGATGAGTAAATTGAGATGCTAGCCTGAGGTCACATGGTTAGTGAGGGACAGAGTCAAGATTTGAACCCAGGCTGTCTGGCTCCAGAGCCCATATTGTTAATCAGAATGCTATTCAGTATTGTGCCTGAATAGTTTTAAAAAATATGAAACTGGATTTTGAGAAATTTCATAAATAGTTGTAGAAAGTTATTTGCTTGCTCCCTGGAGAAAATGAAATTAGTCCAGAGTTCATTATCTTTGAAAAAGTGGTATGATCTTTATCATTGTTTAGATTCAAATTACAGAGCGTGACTAGAGACATTAACCATTGATTTTGAAACATACTGCAGTTTGCTATGACAGTCAGTTGATTTTAAATTCATTTTACATATTAGTAACATTAGCAAAACTAAGAGTGGATCTATGGATTAATAGGAATCAACTTGTTAGAAAAAGGAAGTAATAAATTTGTGTGTCTAACATTTCGCTGTAAATATATACTAAAATCATTTCATTGAGATCATATGAAATACTCTGATCTGTAGAAAAAGGAAGTAATAAATTTGTGGGACTAACATTTCGCTGTAAATATATACTAAAATCATTTCATTGAGATCATATGAAATACTCTGAGTTCCAGAAAAGTAATATTTCCTAGTTCCAGTATACAAACTACCACCTGGGAAAATGTGATAACCTTCTAAATTTATCTTTTCCAAGGCTGTCTATATCATATTAAAGCCATTAGAGACACCTATGGAAAGATACTTTTTCAATTCTATATTTGAAACCTGCCAGACAAATCTATTTCACTTGTGTGAAGAATCACCTTGGGGAATACTCCATCCTCATTAACCCAAGCAATGTCCACCTGTGTTTTGAATCTTTCCTGAGCAGTCTTTCAGTAGTTTTAATTTGAACTATGCTTTCCTCCATGTTTTCAAATGCTTATGTAGCAATAGGGCTTAATTTTTCTGTCGTATAAACCTGCCTCTTTACCTCCTGTGCAGTGGGTCGAGACTGGGGCGTGTTTATCATCATGATGTCCGGGTAGCCCAGCATCAGGTGGGAACACTTCACCACAAGCAAGCTGTGTGTGCTCTGAAGTGGTCGCTGGATGGCAGGCTGCTTTCCAGCGGCTGTAGTGATGGATTGCTGACAATATGGCCCCACGATCCAGGTGCCAATGTGCAGAGCCAACCACTAAAAGTCATAACCCAAACTACAGCAGTCAAGGTAAGAAATCCAGCAGCTTTCTAGGTTTCTTTTATTCAGAGACCACTGGATATTCTTCACGTATAAAAAGAAAACTGTTAAGACAATATTTTGAGATTTTTCTTCCTCTAGACTTTGTTTTGGATTTTATCATCGCTTTCTTGAATGCAACCCTATTTTACTCCCCATGTGTCAGAATTTTTGGTTGTAAGTGACTGAAACTAAAGTCAAGCTTGAGCTTAAGTAAAAAAATAAATTTATTTTCTCATGTACTGTTGAGTCCTGTGTACAGAGAGCTGGTTTCAAATATTGGCTGGATCTAGGGCCTTGAATAATGTCGTCTGAGCCCTGTCTTTTTGGCTCTTGGTTCTGCTCATCTCTGTTTAGTTTCATTCTTCCTTCTGGCTCCATTCTGTGAGCAAGATGGCCCTTGGCAGCTTCAGATTCAGATTCTCCCAGATGGGTGCCGAGTAAGAAGCCGTTTTTCCTTATAACTCTGGTGGAAAAGTGCCAGGGAGGACACTGGTCTGCCTTAGGTCACAGTCTCATCTCTCAGTTGATAGTTGCAGCCAGAGAAATGGGCACAGAGATGAGCCTGGGTCACAAGCTCACACCCAAGAAAGGACATCCATTGCCAGGAGAAGGAGGGAGGGTGCTTAGAGTTAAACCAATGCTCTACCATGCTGTGCACAATTATTTCTTATTTCCCTGTATTTAAAATTCTCATTCCTAGTGAAAAATTGATACTTTCCTTGTTGGAGGCCTTAGTGTCACAGATGTATGTCTTGACCTGAACATAATCCCAAGATATTTATTACTCATAGAGCAAAGGAATGGTTCTACCTTATTAACTAAGCAAATTTACTGGCAAATTAATTAGATAATTTAATATCATAGTTAACTAATTTAGGGTGGAATACATAGTGACTGCTGTTACTGCATAGTGCTGGCTCAATAGCTCTGGCTTGTGGTTTTTAATGTCTACAGGACATTGAGAATGATTTTATGTCTAATTCTCATTATTAATGACTTGGATAAAACCTAGGAAAAAATGTACATAAAATATGGCCTGCAAACAAAGCAAAACAAAACACAGAGGAAAAACCCAAGCCAAGCAAAACAGGTTACCTTCTTAGATGCCTTTTTGTTGAAAGTACGGTGATTGAACTATTGAATGAAAATCCTCTTCACTACGAGAGTCTCTGGAAACCAGAGCAAGCCATACCTCCTGGCTGCTAATACCTGGGTGTAGAGCTAGGGCTGGGTCTGGAGCTCACAGACCCCTCAAGCTCATTGTCCAGACTGGGTCACAAACCCTTCACATGCAGGTATTTGAGCTAGGTAACTGGAAGAAAGGTCCTTGGCATCTTGGCTGAAGAAAGAGTAGTCTTTATTTCTGTGTAGACACACACACACACACACACACACACACACACACACACACACACACACACACACACACACACACACACACGTCTGGGAGCTAGGCAGTCCAAAGAGAAACTCAGAAACTCAACTGCTACTGGCAAAGTCCAAAGAAAAACTGAGCAGCCGCTAGCAAAGTAAACATGCTCTCTTTTTTTATACACGAGCTCTCTGTTGTCCAGCAGTTCAGGGCCGCTGCTCCACACACTCAAGAACACAACAGAATAGCAACAAAACTAAAAAGATACATTGGCATGCATACACACTAACTCCACCCCCCCGGATTTGTTTACAAAGGATGTACTGCACCACACCCAACTGGACCTGAGGTGAGGGGGTCCTGATTAAATTATTCTATTTTCCCAATACTGGGGAATCACAAGGGCAGTCACTAGTGTATGTCTTGTCATATCCACCACCAACTAACCAACTGCTGTAGCAGGAGTGGACTTCAGAGGTTGACATCAGTGTGATTGTTCTCATGGTGTAGCTTCTAGTTTTGCCCAAGCACCTTGTTTATAGTAAACACTAATTGAAAGTAGGGTATTTAAGAAAACGATTATTAATAAATATTAAAAAATACTGATATCCATTATATGGTAAAACTGGGGTCCAGGGCTTGGGGTAGTTTCTGAGCTTCTTGAAATTGTATGCCAAATTTTGTGTTTCATGTAATAACCCTCTTCTCCAGCCCAGTCACAGATATAGGTGAATGGTTAATTGAAAAAGACAATTAAAGCAGGCAACTGTAAAGTATGATACATATGTATCGTAGTCTTTTATTTCAACTGAAAACATTACATTCACATATTCATTAAACTGTACATTCATTCACCATATAAGGCCTTTATGTTGAATGTAGGTTGGCTGATTAGAGTTCCTCATTGCCTTTCTTGTATAAACTGTAACCATATTTCATTGTTCAAGGGTTCTATTTATGGTATCTGTTCTGGTTATCTATTGCTGTGTAATAAATATTTCTGGTTCAGGGTCTGTCATAAGGTTGCAGTCAGACAGCGATTTAGCTAAAAGTGCAGGGGCTGGACAAGCTGTTGGCTGGACAGGCATGCTTCCCTCCTCATGTAATTTCAGGGCTTTTCCGTGCCATTTGGGCTAGTCTGGACTTGCTCACAGCATAGTTGCCTTAAGAGAGTTAGACTTTGTACCTCAGAGCAATAGGTCCGGTGCTTCAGAGGGCAAGGCGAAAGTGGCATAACCTTTTATAACCTAATTTCAGAAGTCACACAGTGTCACTTTCACTGCATTCTATTGGTTGTAAGCTAGTCACAAGTCCTCCTGGATTCAAAGGGAGGGGAATTAGATTCCGTCTATTGACAGAGGGCATCGGCAAGTTTCTAGAAGGATGTGTTAGATGGGGATAATGTTGCGGCTATCTTTGGAAAATACAATGTGCTACAAAGTAAAGCAAGAATCTAAAGCCATTTATGAAGGAATTGGAGTGTGTAGTCCTAAATTTTCATAAAAATTTCCTAGTTTTTAATAGTCAATTCAGCCACATCTAATTCAACAACATTTTCTTTTCAGGGACTAGCCTTTATGAATATCTTCCAAAATATTCAACTTAGTTTTCATAGAAATAACAGTCATTTTTAACCCCCAATAAAATAGGTAATTTAATTAAATATTAACCTACAGTTGTAAGTTTATAGAGCTTATTGTGTTTTACTGACCCTGTGTATGGCGGGTGGGCAATTTTTCGACTTTACAATGGGTTTTTTATTAGGATATCAAATGCAATCAGATGCATTTTTTTTTTCCTTTTTGTCTTTTTTTACTGACCGCTAACGGGATCGCAACCCTCGGTGTTGCGCCCGCACTGCATCGCGCTCAGCCAGTGAGCGGGAACCGGTCTCTACATGGGATCCAAACCCTCAGTGGGAGCGCCGCCACGCTCCCAAGTGGCACACTCTCCAGTGCGCCACCGGGCCAGCCCTCAGATGCATTTTTGACTTATTATTATTATTATTATTTTGACTGGTAAGGGGATCGTAACCCTTGGCTTGGTGCTGCCTACACCACGCTCAGCCAGTGAGCACACCGGCCATCCTTATATAGGAATCCGAACCCGCCACCTCGGTGCTATCAGCACCGCACTCAGCTGAGTGAGCCACGGGGCTGGCCCACATTTTTGATTTATGATATTTTCAGCTTATGATGAGTTTATCAGGATGTAGCCCTGTTGAACTTTGAGAAGTATCTGTATTATAATTTCACTAGATATAAAATAACATTATTAACTCCAAGTAAACTTTAGCTAGAATAAAATAATTATGCTACTCATTTGATGTTGTTGTAGAAAGTTATAACTGTTTGGAAAACTTTATTTCAACACTTTTGAACCTTGGCATTTACCTAAAAAAATTTGTCAAAAACAAATGATATATAGAGTATATTCATTACAGTGTTCTTTATGACAGTAAACAACAAATAAAACACACAAAAACAAAAAAAAATCTACTCTTCTCAAACAAAACAAAACAAAACAAAACAAACCAACCCAACACAAATCAAACCAAAATAAAATAAAAAACCTCTACTCTTCTCAAACAAAACAAAACAAAACAAACCAACCCAACACAAATCAAACCAAAATAAAATAAAAAACCAGCCTGAGTTTTCCATTAGGAAAGCAAAAATTAATCAGCATACAACATGATGAAATATTATGAGATTGTTAAATGATAATTGTAAAAAGTATGTTGAAACATGGAAAACTGTTTATATAATAGGAGAAAACAACAGAAAAATAAAATAGTATGAACAGTATGTTTGTTCCTCTTAAAAATATTTTTATGTTTAGAAGATAATATACAAAAATGAGAGTAGGATGATTACCAGGATGATTGATGAGGATATACAGATAAATGTAACTGAAATATTTGTCAACATGTTTTTTAAAGTATTGTTCGTAGTCATTTCAATAATCAGTATAAATGTGGGATACCAAATCCTATTTTTCAGAGTTAAACCATAATAACTTATGAATAAATAAATAAATAAAAGGTAATTTTATTTTCTGAAATGTATTAGGATTTGAAATTCATGAGATTTTTGAATTGTGAGCAATCGTGTATAGCTCCCTTTTCTTTTATCTGACTGCTATCTGGAACCAGACAAAGACTACATTTCAGAACCAGATTCTAGGGGCACATGCGAGCCATTCCAGCGGCAGATTTTTGCCCCATAGGATGTGTTGCAGGTAGTTTTTCAGCCATATCATTGTGTGACCTTTCAATGTTAAAAATATCTGTAAAATTGTTATCATAATTTGAGGAGTCCTATTAGGTGCTTTCTCCTTTGGAAGTGACTTCTAGTCTCTGAGAAGTAAGGGTGCAGTTGGTCCTGCCTTTAGAGAAGAGGTCTGGGAGAGCTGTGGCGGGTGCAGACCTCAGGGACTTCTGCTTACCTGAGTGCATCATATTCACAAGTTCATCTGCTCCAAGGCTGACCTGCTTGTGCTATTATTCGGAACTTTAAAGGCCATGGAGTGGTGTCCCTGGCAGTCTGAGGTCCTTGCTGTTGGAGGAGGAATGAAGGACGGACGCTTACACATCTTAGACATAAATAGTGGGAAAAGCATCCAGGCCCCAAGCACAAACTCCCAGGTAATCATCTCCTCCGGAGCTCATCTTCATTCTGATCTTCTAGAATCTTCTGAAAATAATTTATGATAGAGCACAGAACCCAGACACACTTCTCCTTACTTACTGAGTCTATAAGGAATTTCAGTTCTCAAGAGTTTCTTTTCAGTCCAAAGTTAATTTAATTTGTGATTTTTTGTTTGTTTGCATTTCTCTTGTGTGAAAAATTTTCATCTGTCAGTCCAAAGTTAATTTAATTTGTGATTTTTTGTTTGTTTGCATTTCTCTTCTTTCTCATCGCTGTGTTGACTACGAAACTTGAGAGTAGTCTGGCTATTCCTGGCCAGTGATCATATTTCACTTTAATTCATCGGTTCATTGCATGTAAGCCTATTTGTATAGTTGGTTCCATGTTGTCTTGGGTTAAACCATTCTAGAACTAATAGAACTCCTATGACAGCCTAACCCCAGTTGTGTCTGTGATGGGTGGTGGACAGAGCATATCGCCTAGAATCAGTTTAAGTACATTCATAATGAATCAGAAATTGCCACAATTCTGTATTTTTGGGTCATTATTACAGATTTGTTCCCTAATCTGGCTACCTAAGACAAAGGAGATTGCAACTGGCCAAGGTACTCCTAAGAATGATGTGATCGTGTGGACCTGTCCCGCTCTGTCCAGGTCAGGTGGGTTTTTTGGTAAGTAAATGGGTGAGTAACATGTCATGCACCTGCAGCAAAGTGAGCTGCCGTTGGCAGGAATAGCCTTGAATGAAAGGCTTGTTTCCTTCTGCTTCTATATCTCTTATCAGAGGAAAAAGTCCTGCAACCACCCCACCTCAGAGAGTGTAAAGATGAGTGTTTCTGATTTGACTAAGATTGTTTATCACTTAAAATTGTCAAATCTTCTCCTTGCATATATGTATAGATGTTGCAGTGGTGATCTTGGGCAGTTTTTGAACTGTTTTTGAACTCTGGAGTTAACATAATTCATTTTATCTTATTTTGAAGAAAAACCAGCAGTGCTGAAATGTGTGGAAGAGGGACCTGAAAGGGTGAGATATTGTTACACATGGGGAGGCCACTGATGATTATGAGGCTTCCTCTGTGAGCATCTGCCCTTTCGAGGCAGTAGATTCTTTCATTTACAGTATTTCCCCAAAGCATTTACCATGATGGTTGTTATACAAAAACAGGTTACGTGGTCAGATAATTTTAGAAAACCTGGGTTAGACAAGAACAGTTTTTCTTTTTGAAAGACCTTTCAAAGGCTGGGATACATTATGTGTATAGTGACTTTCTAAGAGGAGGTTATAGCATTCAGTGTTTCCCAAACACATCTGGGAAATGTTTTGTAGGGAGCATCTTGAGGTACTTGTTTCATGAACACACTTCAGGTGGCACAGCTATGTGGCATTGGACTGCTTAGGTATTTAATTTCTGTTGTGGGTCAAGGACAGCGCTCTTGATATACACCCTGGTGATTGAGAGCTGGATCAAGTCTTCTAAACTGGTGGTTGTGACCTTAGATTTTGGATGTAATGAGTCAAGATGAGCAATAAAAAAATGAGATAGAATGGAAAAATGGGTATTATTT